GGGGCTTTAACCCCCTCCCCCACCCGCTGGCGCCGCCACTATTTTGCTGTTCCCCACTCCTAGCATGGCTTGGTGTTCCTTGAGCTTGGTACGGAGGTTACGTCCTTTTTCACTAAAGTAAATTGTAAACTTTTTCATACTCAGATGGAATCCAATAAACTCTTGGTTGGCTCTGTGCTGGTGGTTTATCCTTGTGTGTTTAAAGTGTCCGGGATAGTTTGTTGGGTGCACTATTAAACACTTTAATATCGGCTTGCTGCAGACTATACTAAATACGGTGTGATAGCTGTCCAAAATATGGTAAATATACAGACTTTCCTAAAATGTTCTTTATCAAAATTCTAATAATATTATAAGCATTGCGACGCATTCACATAAACATTGGGTTAAACAATTAAGACAACCAATAGTATATTTTATCAAATTTTTTAAACTATTAACACGTTAATCTTATCATCTTTTTATGGATAAATGTATTATACAGAAAAACTTCTTTTTAATTCCACTTCATGTATTTAATTGTTTTTATTTACAGGTTAGTTTCCGTTAATTTGGTGTCAGATTATTTTTTCCAAACACGACAATACTGTTAATGGGCATTTATAATGGGCCTTTTCACAAGCCAAGTTCCTTAGAAATTTTAATTAACTAGTTCGAGAAAAAAAAATAATACCACACAGAATACAGTCTATGAAGAGACATCAACATAAACAAACAAAGGCACAGGCAAAAATACAGAAACAAGTGAATTAAAATAAAAATGCATTTTAAGTGATCTTTTAAAAATATTGACATTATAAATGTTTTTAAGGTCATTAGGAAGATTATTCTAGATTTGGGCAGCATAAACCGAATAAGAAAACTACAGTGTAGTGAAATGAAAAAAAGGAGTATCGAGTAGTACGAGTTGGAACACAACGAGTAAGGGGTGAGGATAAATAGCAAGGGGAACAACTATAAAGAATAATTGTAAGCAAGCAACAAGTGAAGCTCCATAATGAGCGGAGCAGTTGTACCAGGATTGCGGAGTTTTGCAATTTTTTGCAATCTATTGAGATCTTTTTTGTATAAGTCACTATACATTTCATTACAATATCTATTATTATAATAGTCTATCCTGGATAACGCAAGTGTCATGGTCTATATGCGTAAGTATTCTCCATAAATCCCATAGGTGATAGCTTACACTACTGAATATCCTTCCTACTTGGGCTCCTAATTTTAAATTCAAATCAAGTGTTATGCTCAAGTTACGAAGGCTGTTAGAAACATTAATGAGACATCCATTGATATTCAGCAGGATATTACTAACTTGGGACATTCCTTCTTGCCTGGAAAAATAATAGTCGAGATTTAGGTCCATAGATCAAAAATTCAGTCTTTTATTCATTAAGATTTAATTTGCTTATTGTCATCCATCTAAGATACATCTTAATAAACGATCTAGAGATCTAAAGCTACTGCAGTCGGTGGAGTCAAATTTCAGAAATAACTGTACAACGTCTACAATAAGGTAAAATCTAATTTTGTGCTTTCTGATAATATTACCTAATGGCTTAAGATAGAATGTAAAAGAAAAACAAGGACAGACCACAGAATCCTGTGGAACACTAAAGTTAAGTGTGTGA